GGCGCGGGCCTGCAGTGGGCGCCGCGGCCGGAAGGGAGCGGTAGCGACTGCCGGGCAGCGCCGGGCCGGCCCGCGGTCGCACGAGGGGAGCAGCCCCGGCGCTCGCGATTGGGGGACTCTGTTTTTCCTCTTCTCCAATGGGCAGCCGTGAACGGTCTCGCCCAATCTGCTCCCGCGGCCGCGCTCCACTTTGGGTTGTTTTTGTTTGGGCTCGAGCCTCCTCTAGCGTCTCCTCCCGGGCCGGCCCCCTCCCCACTCCGTCTCTCCCTGGACAGCGCTCCGGCTTCTGGCCTCCCTGCCCCGGGGCCCGAGGCGACGCTGGTTCTCCAGAGTGGCTCATTGTCCTTCCACTTGTCCCGAGACGATGTGTATGCGAGTCCTTCCCACCTGTGAGAGGGGACAGACGTGTTTTCAAGATGACAGCTGGGCCCACCTTGCTGGAATGGTATAGACGCGCGTTAGACCCGGAGAAACGCGCTCCCTCTCTATTTGGGTTCATTTGACCCCGTTCTGGAGCTCTTACTTCCGATCCATTGAGTGGGGAAACTTTAGGAAGACTGAGGAGGTGAATGTGTGTTCTTTGAAGTTCGTTTTCGAGAACTTGCCAAATGATCTTATCTAGAGTAGTGAGCAGATGAATTGACTGGTTTTGATTGTCATTCTTTTCATCAGGACCTTGTTAGGTTTAAACTACTTTGACATAAAGTATAGTAAACGTGGCCCCATAGGTCCGAGGACTGGTGTGGAGGATCATCCGAGGAAGCAGTTGCCAGCTGAAACTTTTTTCCTTTATTCTTTAATATTGAGAACACGTATAAATTTTGATGATTAGTGTAAAAGTATCAATATTTTGAAAAGGGAGGGGGAAATCATTTTTGCCTGAAATAATCACAGATAATTTGTACCTATTGAAAAGCGTACTTAAAGAGTTACTTACTGTAGATACAAGTTTACTTTGTAGCCGAACGTTTAGCAACTTGAACCAGAGGTGTGGCCCTCGCTGTTGAGACTCCTATATTCCGAGATTAAAGTCCACAAACGCTTTAATCCCAGCACGTGTGGGAGCTCAGGCCCATTTTCCAGTTCTTACTCTCTAAACGTTCTACATCCTGCTCTCCCTTTCCCAAGCGCTGGCCCCACTAGTTTCCCATGCCTGGTGGCTTTTGGTCACATCCTGCCCAGCATTCCTACACCCCCTTCCCCCCCTCCCCATTCACACCTGTCTTTCAGAAAGGCCCATGAGAATGTTACCTCCTGGCGAAAGCGTCTCTTACACACGCAGGTGCGGGGACTGGTCCACTCAACAGAATGCACACTTTGTCTGGGTCCCCTGCACGATTGTTATGTTGTATTACATTTGGTTGGTTACTTGCCCACACTGTCAGCTTTCTTGTGAGCTTGTGGTGTTATTATGTATCTCCTCTGCCCCGGGGCAGGTACAGCATAGGCTGTCAATAGACACTTGATGAAAGTGTTAATTTATTAATCTCCAAGTTATCAAGATTAATAGTTTGTATTTAGTATTTCAAAGTATGTCCATTCTAATGTTGTTAGAAAACGTTGTTGTCATTAACAAAACAACTTAGTTTGAGAGTGAAAGGAATATTGTGGATACTTAGCCTTCAAGAGGAGAGTAGAATGGGCTCGGTATTTTTACCCATAAACTTTGAAACCAAACTCTTTCAAAGTAATTTCCAGGTGCTCTCTTGCCTGTGTTTTCATCTGTCGTCTTGTACACAGTGAACTGCTTACGTTTTGAACTCTCCGTACTTTAACCAAATACCAGTGGGCAGTCCTGGGGGGAGATGGAGGTGGGGGGGTACAGCAGGATATGCATGTGAAGGAAGTGCTTGTTTGCGTGTCTTTGAGCCTAGCGTTTTGTGGGTGGGGGTGTTGGTTTGTAAATTTTCCCTTGGGTCATATAAATCTGGGATTGAATCTGATCTTTATGTGAGTATCAATTTGTGGGTTTATAGGACACAAGTGTGTGGCCCGGTTGTGTTGCAAAGACGTTTATGTGTGTAGCAGCTCCCTGTCCACAAGAATGCCCTTTCCATGGCTTATGAGGGCAAATGCTTTCAGATAAATCATGTAGATTCCATTATTTTATACTCCTGCTTGCCATATATGAGCTCTGCTTTCTCTCCAGTCACCAAATTCCTTCTCCTTCATGGGCAAGAGTTACAAGACCATGTCAGCCCTAGAACACTCTAGTTCTTGTCTTCCACGCGTTCAAGACAAGCACCATGTGTCTTTGCTCCACTGTGACACACTTGGTTACACAGATATACTAAAAGCAAGGAGAGAACGCGGGGTAGTTGTCGCTGAGATAGAGCGCTATGCAATAGAAGTAAGTTTTTGTATAAGATGGAACTTATTTTTTCAGCCTGATGTTTAGTTACTTTTATATTAAGTGGGAAAAATTTATTCTACTGACGTGTCTTGGTTCAGGAAATGGTTTTAATTGCTGTAAGAAGCACAAGCCCAAATTATTACAAGATAAAACTTAAAACTAGCCAGTGCACTTTCAATTGCAAGCATTAGGGGGTTCTAAGCATTAGAACACAGTGATTTGAAAAGTAATTTCTTTCTTGAATACAATGTCAACTTTGAAATCTTAAAATATATACTTCCTGTTTGAAGCTCTTAAGTTTGAAATGTGAATTAAACCCTGCAGTTTTAATGCCCGAGTTCCATTAACAAGCTGTACAAGGAAGGGGTTCTAGCAAACAGGGAGGACCCTAGGGCTTTGTCTAGAGGATTTTTAACGGGGGAAAGTTTAACACCTTTCTTTTCATTCTTTCTACTAACTCTACACTCCTCCTCCCCCCCAAAAAAACTCTACAGATCTGTTTTTCCTTGAATTCTTACTGTCATCCCTTTTCTTCCCCATAATTTGGTGTTTCCTAGAAGATGAGAAGTGTGGGCTGAGAGGAAAGGTCGTGTCTGATCAATATCTAGCCCTGTATTTATCTGTTAATGTGATTGGAGTTTCTCTTTGTCCTAGTCAAATTAAAGAAAGTACTTTTCAGTTACAAAAATATCTTATTTTGTTCAACAGACACGTTCCCAAATTTTAGTCATGCACATCTTATTTTAAATGCATTACAGGATTTTACTATTTTAAAGGCTTGCTATAGAGCAAATCCATCTGTACAGGAAAGACTCATCACCTTATTTTTGTAAATCAACATTAATGTCTAATGTTAGCTTTTTAAAAAACTTTTCGTTTGATCCCCATATTGCTTGGAGGCAGTAAATTAGAGGGGATATATTATCTTTATATAGTTGGTGATGGAACCAGGAACAATTTGCATTAACTCTTAAAATAGTCTCACAAAAGGGGAAAAAACGTCACTTATCCATGGTCATTCATGGTCTAAATTATCTTTTGCATCACAATTTTCCTTCCCTCTTGCTGAAGGGTGCCTAGGACCATCATACCAGTTCCGTCACTCACTGCCTCTGGCTCCTGCGTCTGCCAGCCAGATTTGGGGCTGCCTGGTGTCTGCGAGACAAACTCAAACACCACATAGTCTTCCAGGGTTGTGTGTAATTATGACTACTATATATACATGTAATTCTGGGGCTGGATGGAGGACCATTAGAGTAAGAATCTGTGCTGCTCTGTCATTTACGTCAGACAGTGGTAGGGCCAGGCCTCAGTTTCTCTGTCTGTAAAATAACTAAACATTAGTCTCTGAGATCATTTCAATCCTAAATTATACTTTATCTTTTACACTTAATTGCCACCCTATTCTCTCACTTCTAAGAGCTATTTTAATCATAGTTTGACATCTCTGTAATTGGTTTACATAGTTCATCTGTATATTCCATGTAGTTTTTCCCCTTTTTTTGAAATGTTAATAAATTGATGGTATAGCTTACAATCAGCTGAGTTTTAGAATTGAGAGACTAGGGTATATCAATGGTCTCAAAAGCTTGATTCTTAAGGTCTGTATGGCTCCTTGTCAGTTGCCATCTCTGCAAGATGTCTTATTTTCTGTATTATAGTACACTGAAGAAGAAAGTAACAAGACGTAGGAAGTATTCGCTAATGATAGCCTCTTTATTTATGGGTGATACACATGCGGCTTAAATATTGCATAAACCCCAGACTGCAGTGTAAACATGAGGGTTCTGGACCCAGCCTCACCACCAAATAGCAGTTTGACTTTAGCAAAGCCACTTCTCTCTGAGCTTTAGCCATCTCATTTGTGATGTTAATACCTGTCTCACCCACCTATAGGGTTGCCAAGCTGCTGAACCCTCAGTCGTGTGTTAGGGTGAAACAAACCGTATTCCACCTTGTACCATCTTTGTAGGAACACCCAGTCAGCAGATTTCTAATGGCACTGGTCTTAGGCAAAAGGCCCCTTCAGTGAAGGGTCATTCTGCTTTTTATTCTGCACCCTTCTGACCTGTTCAGATACTGGGTCTTCATGTGCTTCCCTTTGGTTTTCAAGGTCGCCCATTCACCTAGTAGCCCTGCTTGATTTTCTTGAAAGCTGAAGCTCTCGTGCGCCCTCTAGTGTTCCCTGGACACAACTAATATT